GTTTTTGCACTTAAGTGAGCATCTCTTGTATGACGCCTTACATCTGCTCATGCCTTCGTCCCCGTTTGTTCTTTTACCTCGCGTTAATTTAGGTTTTTAGTTGCAGCTTTTAAACATGTAGATGCCATGCCTGGTTAATCCTTTTTATAGCTTTGTATTTTTTTTTTCTTTTAGAGCTGACAGTAGTCCCGTTTCCTCTTGTTTTTAACAGCTAGAGCTCGGCTCTCGACCTAGAATCGCATTCCACACATCACTCCTCTCTCAACAATCACAGCAGTGCCTACCTGAACCTTTTCCCTCTGAGAAGAAAAAGATTGCCAAGAATAATTTAGTGCTACTTGGAAGCTCTCTCCCTTTTTCTTTCTTTCTCTCTCTCACACACACCTGAAGACAACAGCACTGTCTGAACTCCACATATTGCACTCCTGCAGTGTTTAAAACTACAGATCTGCTCCTGCAGAGCTGAGCTGAAGGCAAGCTCACAGTAGCGGTAGTGTTTCCCCTAAAAATGGAGATTTTATCCCTTCAAACATAAGTGCCATTAGCTTAAGGGAGAGAAATATTAGCCAGGAAACTCCACGACGGTATCAAAACCACTTTCTCTCTGTAGTTCTTTGTGAATTTGTATTTTTATATTGGAAATATGTGACTTTTGCATTGATTGGCTTTGTAATGAATTGTCTATAGCTTTTCATTTTTGGCAAGATAGAATAGATCCAACATGGAAACTGAGCTTTCTTAAATGTCTCGTAATGATTAATATGAATATTATTGTTCCGGCTTGTTTAATTTATATTTGACTGGTCAGTGTCTGTGTGATTGCTTTTTTTCTCCCTATGGGAGATCAGATTTCTGACTGTGTGTGTGTCACCTCATAGCCTGCATGTGCATGTGCTGTATGTGTGTGTGGATGGACTGCATGTGTGCGACTGGGAGTGTCTCTTTTATTATCTATATGTGTGTGTGTGTGTGTGCGTGCGTGTGTTGATGCTCGTTCCAGTTGTCCATCTGCACGACTTCAGGTATAGCTCTAATTTATCTGTGTTTGCTGCTGCATGGCCCGTACAGGGGTGTGTGTGTGTGTACAGGATGACTGTGTGCGTGTGTGTGTGTACAGGATGACTGCGTGCGTGTGTGTGTGTTTAGCTTGCTTTTACACAAAGTGTTGCACAATGCACTCAATGTACCTTTCCAGTTAGTATCTGGTATGATATAGTTTATCATTTCTAAAGAGTGTACATGTTTGTAACTTGTTTTACTTCATACAATGTACCTCTGCTCTACAGGAATGTTTTCTTTTTGTGTTTTAGGTTTTAGATACTTTTCTTGCTTTCTGCTCGTTAATAGCATTGAAAAAAATTAAAATGAATTGGTTGTCAGAATTTTCCAAGCAGCTGAATGTGAACGTCGTCGTGGAAGGCTTGGACTGTCGCTTTTTTTTTTTTTTCTGCAGAGAACATAAAACTTTGTCGTATGTGAATGTCGTGGACTGCATGAATGGATAACACAAATTGTTCTCCGACGTGTTAACTGTACTACTCTGAATCTCCCTGGAGTGTTGATCACTTTGCAAAAGTTGGAAAAAATGCACCTTTTAACAATTTCTTTTTAATGTCCGATTCTGTTCTCTTCTGTTCAATGATTGTTCTGCATGTTGGGACTGAAAACCTAATAAGTGTTGTCTTTTACTGCCATGAAGGACTACTGAAATAAACTTTACAACCATGAAGGAACAGTTTAAACACACTGGCTGATTTTTGTTCATGTACAGACGGCAACCAGTGATGCTCAGAATAGGATCTTCCTAACCTAATCCCAATTTTGGGTTTTTTTTTAGGCAGAACCTGCCAATTCATTTTTTTCTGCAGCACATAAAAGAAGAAAAAAGATGTGATCTGTGTTTGTAGAAATGTCCCGAGCCTTTATCTTATTTTCACTAAAGTTAATGAGAGTTTAAGTTCAATTTAATGGATTTAATTAATAGAATCTGAGCAAAATCAAATGAAAAGCGGCTGACGTAGATCTTTGTTTGATTTTGTGTGTTTCTAAAAGCAACATCATCAGGGAAACGGGGAAAGTGAGGACAAAAACATTGCCAGGAAATTTGAGCTTGTAAGCCAAATACAGATTTTTGATTAATCTGTGCGCGGTTTTTGCTGTAGTCTTAATTGTCTGACTATAACAGACAAGACTCCAGACTAATTTCCTTGTTTCACACTGGGGGCCCCTGTGTTCGCCTCCGCAGCATTCGCTGCAAAAACAAAACGGACGCCATCTTTTGAAGTGATCCAAAGATAGCAAATTAACAGAAGAGGCTGCTGGGTAATGCACTGACTGTAATGGATGTAGCATTAATCGAGTTATATTTATCTTCCTGGAAATGAAAAGTGTGGAGAATAGAGTTCAGTGCAATAATCCTTCTCAGGTGTGGAAAAGGCTAAAACTAAGAATGGAAAAATGTCTGCAGTATGATACTTAATCTTTTACTCTAAAAAGAAAACTTCAGAAGATGAAAAAATTCATTGCGATTTATATGTTTGTGTCAACATCACAGTTAAGTTTTTCTTACTCATTGAACATGAAAAAGGCAATTTCACTGCTTCCGTAGTTTATGGTTATGGTTTCTGCTGCCTGGACTTATTGGCACCTCTGTATGCGAAGATGTGTAAAAAACCTTAAATGAGTGAATAATAAATGACCTCAAAGGAGCTGTGGAAGCAGAGTATATTGATTAAACTACCTATTAACAAATTGCCAAAATATTTTTTTCGCACTCAATTAGTACTTTGCTAAAAAAGATGGCATTTAAACTTTGTAAATATTTTACAAAGTGGGAGCGTAGAGACAGATCAATAGCCTTCAACTCAAAAATGGCATCTTTTTCTTCGTGTTGTTTCTATAATGAGGGGGTGTGAGTTTGAAGAAATTTCTGTCGTGCCTGCTCCTAGCATGTGACGGTTCCAAATGAAAATGAGCGCTTTTTTCTTTGATTTCCAATTTTGACTTCCAATTATTCACTTTCTGTTAAAGAGCCCCCTTGCGGTTAAAAAACAATCCACAGAAAAGCTGCACCGTAAAACAGTTCCAGTTACAAATCCACCTGTTTGTGACTAAAGAACAGAAAAGATGTTTATTTCTGCCAAGCCCCCCAAACAACCAGTTGGCATCTAGTGGTTATTATAGAGACTGTCCTGCTCGCTGTAAGAGATAAATGGGTCTACACCCAGCAATGGGGTTGTCTGATTAACCCACAATCAGAATTCTCAGATTAAAGTCAGATTTTTATTTGTTTTTTTCAGAGGCGCTAATCCATTTTTGTATATTTTATATTTATTTTTCGGAAGGGCGGCTGATGTATGTCTTCAACAAACTTGTTTTTAAAACAGCCAGATTTTCAGAAAGCAATTAAAGATCTCCTAATGTTCCTGATTGTATCTGATGTTTAAAGTTGACCCAAACGAAGAGACATTAAGCTGGTTCTTTTTTTTACTTGACATAATTTAGATGATTTAGATCGTGGCTGGTGAATACATTGTTTCGCTAGGAAAAATGACCGCAAATCCCAACAACAGGGTTTGATTATATGAAAATCTAAAGAATCCTAACTGAATCCTAACTATTGTGGCAAACAGAGGTTGTGTGGTTTTTCTGAAATGTTTTCAAGAGCTTACAACTGAGAAACTAGGCAAACTTCACAAAACGCTTTTAACAAAAAAAAAATAGTCTGAGTGCTCCTTTAAGGAGGGTCGCTTCATTTAACTTTCCAAATGTATTGAAGTATCTCTTCAGAGACATTCTAAATCTGTTGCCAACTTGCACTTTCCTTTGAGAGGACAGACGTTGAATGTGTTGCAGATGTTCACCCTGAAACTCATCCTGTAAGATCCTTTTTTGTGATAAAAGCTGCAATTTTGTGTATCCTCTCCACGCAGCAGCAAACATCCGCGGCAAGTTTCAGGAGATGCTGATCACCAGATCAGTTTCATAGTCAGGTAACCGGTGAACAGAAAGGTCTTTGTGGAGGCTCTCCTATAGCCCCTGCTGCAACATAAACCTGTTTCTGGAGGCAGTTGTTTCTAACACTGCGACCATATCATGCTCATTGAGCACTGACAATGACGGATCTCAGCTCTGCATTCCTGCCGCGAAGTCTGGCGCAAAAAGACGCTACAGGTAGGGAGTTACCGTGTTGTTCCCATTATGTACTCACTTATTTAGCTGTTTTAATAGGCCACCCTCACACATTAGAGTCTGATGTATTTGTTAGACACTCTGGAAGCTGAAAATAGGAAATCTTAAAGCTAACTACACTTTTTTGTAGCCATAATTCAGAAAAACACCCCAAACATCTGAATGTTTGGGGTGTTTTTCCATGCATCACTCTCAAAACAATATGAATGTTTGTGCTTCGACTCTCCCCAACAGCATTTCATTTCTTTATTCTTGGCCACTTCCTGCCGATTTTCTGGTGTTTTGTGAGGGAGCAAGATCCAGTTGCTGCCTCCTAAGTTATTCTCTTATACACAGTGATGATTTAAAATTCTTTTGAGACCTCCATGAATCCTTTACGAGACTCGTAAACAGCACCAATCTTCTTCTGCAAGGTCTCAAAGTTTAGTGGGACATCAAGCTGGATATGTGAGGTCTAAACTTCCATCATAATACAGAGTAAAGATGTTCTTATCTTTATCTCATGAGATAATGTTTCATTTTAGTTGACATAAACATGGAGGTGCCCTTTTTCTACTACCTTTAGGGAAGCTGCAGTGTTTTTTTACATTTTACAAAAAAGCTAGAAATGTATTTTCTTCATTTTTAGTATTTCTATATAATACTTGTGTTTTTAGGTATTGTTAGATTGTTTTAAATATCCATATGTCAAAATGTCACAAAATCACACAAGCTGCTGAAGGGTTTCCTCATTATTTCCCATGACCGTATGTCTGACCCGAGGGGACTCGAGTTGTTTTTGTGTAGATCTCAGATATGCTTCACAGAACTGTCAATAAACAGTTTTTAATTAGCGTACATAAGGGAATGATTTCACAAAAGCCCACATTTCCACAGAAAGAAAACGTCTCTTCACTCTCAGGTGTCATTTTTTACATTTAAAACTTCCTACATTCTCTGTATAATATACTTCTATAAAAAACAAAACATTTTGAGACATTTAAATGTTTTTTTGGAGGAAGTTGCACAAGAGTTTAGTTAGACCACAGGGATCTGCTGGCTTTATAAAAGTGCATAAAATGTAGAAATGGTCCCCAAACAGGCCTGTTGTTGTGTCCAGTTCACTCATTCAGTCCTTAACGTCACAACCTGGGCAGCCATGTTTGACTCATGCTCCGACGTCCAGGAGTTCCTGTAAGCCTCTGGTGACGCCTGTCAGCTCTGTCCAAAGTCAGCAAAGCCCTTGGTTGCTGTGAAGGCGTCGGGCTGCAGGGGGAAGAAGTACTGCTGGGGAAGCAGGAAGCTGGTGCTCTGAGCAGGGTGAGAGGGTTGGTGGAGCTGCAGCTGTGGGTGCTGGAGCGCTCCTGTCATGGGCGGTGATGTGTAGGGCGGAGGCGGTGGAGGAGGTAGTAGAGTCTGTGGGGTCTGAGTGGGAGTGGAGGCCGAGGAGGAGATGGTGGCAGTCACAAGGCAGCCATGCTGCTGCTGCTGCTGCTGCTGCTGCTGGGCCGGACCCCCGAGAGAAAACCTCCGAGTGGAGCTGCCCCCACCCGCTGAGCTGGAGCTGGTGGTGGCCGTGCTGGACTGCCGAGACGGGGCGCGCAGGCTGGGCGGGGCCGTGGTCAGGATCATGGGGATGGTCTCTCCCTGGCAGCTGCGCAGAGAGAAGCGGATGGGCTGCTGGGTGGGCTGCTTGGGCCGCAGGCAGGTGCAACAGTAGACCGCCACCAGGGAGCCAACAATGACGAAGGCTATGAAGATGCTTCCCACCATGAGGAAGGGGACATAGATGGGCTCTGAGGGAGAGGAGGAGAAGATGCAAATAAGATCTACAGCCATGATAGGAAAGCTTCATATCTGGACAATATTATATATATTAAAAAATTCTTCTTTTTTTAAACTTTGTTAGAGGTGCACTGATCGCAGTTTTCTGGCTGAATGCCAATTCACAGTTTGGCCAATCCTGATTTTTTATTTTTGTTTGTTTTGTCTGAAATCTTTCTAAATATGGAAAGAAAGTCGCTAAGTAGGTAACAGTGTGGTAACTATTGTTGACTCCAAACATGCAGACCTGACCTGCTGAGTGGGTCTGCCAGTCAAACCTCTCACAGCAGAGCAAAAATAGGACAGTGGAGGATTTTTAGACCTTTTTCGAGGTAGATGAGATCTGTGGACAAGTATCGGCCGATCGCCGATCTCTAAAACTTGAAAAAGTCGGGGTCGATTTATTGGTGAACTTCTAGTGAAAATGCTCTGGATCTGAAGTTCATTATCAAGTTATAGAAGTGAATTCACCACCAGAATTCAGACTTTAGTGACACACACTTCATAAAAACAAACAAACTTCAATGTACTGTATTTCACGAGAAAATCATCTTCAATATTTTACCAATAAAAATCTGATTACCATTCATATTCTGCTGCCTGCCCATTACTCTTATTCTCCTAAATAAAGTCCAGTACAACCACAATACAGTACTTCTTCTGGCCTCTGGTTGTTGTGATTAGAGCTGCATGTTGTATTATTTATTTATTCATTTATTTTGCATATGTCTCCACCAGCTTCACACAGCCAAAAAATTACATTTCTGTTGCTTTAACCTCTCCGAACAGATCAGCAATATGAACGCCAACAGTACTTTTCAGATTTTCATGTTAAAAATTCTTAAAACTTTGTGATGTAATAATATGCTACTATGAGCTCTATTGGACCCAATGCGAAACTGGACCCAATGCATGAGTCCGGGAAACATGATTTATGGCTTTGACATGACTGAATGTAGAAAATTTCCAAAGAATATGAATGATTTTTCAAGGATGTAAACAAAAAAAAAAACCTTTATCCAGACAAATGGATAATTATCAAACACTTTCAGTTATGTTTTTGTTTTAAAACTCATGAAATGTTCTGACCAAAACAGGGACGCATTCCTGCTGAACACACAAACATCTCAAGTTGCTCTTCATGAAGCCTGGTTGGGCTCAGGACGGAAATCTGTGAGCATTTATTTATTTTATGAGACACAGTGAAATCAATTCAAGACTTACCCCTGTTTCCCTTCTGGAAATTGAAAGAAAACTGATAAAACCTGTAAATTTAGGCAGCAGAAGATTAAAACCTACACAGCTTACATTGCATGGTTTGTACAAGCTGTAAAAAAAGCATTTCCGTGCAATAATGATGTAATTAGCTCAGTTTAAAACAAGTTGTTTGGTAGCAGAACGTTGCCGACTTGTGCAAAAACTGGTTTTGATTTTGGAAAACCTTTAATCTCCACTTCTTCAGGTTTCATCTCTATTTCTTTGGAAAAATATATTAAAACTGTGTGTTTTATGAACATCAGGCGAGAGGCAGAGATGTGCTGCATCATAACTTATCCAATTTTTCCACAAATAACAATCTGACGTGTGCTGAGGTAAAAGGAAGCATCTGGAGCTAAGATGAAAGCAGGTGGTTTGGAAACCAGACTCTTTTGCCAAAATAATGCTGAGAATACAACTTTGAAATAGCATGAATTTATTGAATCTGAGCAGCTCTCTAAATGTTCAAAGCTGGCGAGAAAATACTTCCAAGGAGCAAGAAAAGGAGCCTGAAAACTTGGGCTGAGATTCTGCAGCTACATTTTTTACTATTATTCTGCAATATTGCTATTTTGGTCGTGATTTGAAAAGATTGCACTGCGCTCTTTTTGTTGGACATTCCCCCCTCCTCTTAAAGACATGAAGTATTTCTGACCAAGTCTCTGAAACTTAACCTGTTCTTCCTCGTCCAGATTCTCCAGCTGACCTCTGACCTCTTCTGAAAGATCTGCCACAAGTATTTGTAAAGAGTACAAGCATCTAAGCAAATTTTGTCATTTTTAAAAACTAGCTACATATTAGTGGTATACAGTTATTGCTGCTGTCCAAAATACTTATTTAAGATAATATCAATAAATAATGACACCCTGGGCAAAAGCCCATATATATATATGCATTATTAATATTTATTATCAAATATATGTAACATAATATTAATAAAACATATACTTTTTTGTTAATATTATTTTAAAGACGTATAAATAGAACTATAAAAAAAACTGAGTGAGCTAACAATGTCTGTTTAATTCCATTAATTTGCTTTGAGTTCTGAACAATAAAAACTGCCTAAACTTACGGGGAGCAAACTCCGTGTTGTCCACCTCCCGGTCGTTGGTGCAGACCCCCTGGTCCAGACGAGCGTCCGCGGCCGCGCAGCAGTAGCGCAGCGCGCAGGAGCCGCAGCACACGGTCGCGTCCGAGGTGTCAAAGTCTTCCGGACACTGAAAGCCCTCATGGTAGTTCCCGTTAGAGTCCAGCCAGCCGTGGCAGTACTCCCCCTGAGCGTCCGATATGCGCAGGTTCCAGGTCAGATATCCCAGCAGCAGGCAGTTCCAGAGACGCACCATCCCGCCCGGCCGCTCCGGGTTCACGGTTCCCCCTCCTCCCTCCGCCTCGCCTCGCCTCGCCTCTTGTTCGGCCTCAGCCGCCTGGACACGGGGTCCGAGCCGGGATGAATGTCCCCACGCGAAACTGGACCCAATGCATGTAAAGTTATGCCATATTTGCTGCATCCGAAGCGCGGCGGGACATCAGCGGTGTTTGAAGTGAACAGGATCCAAATGATGGGTTTAAGTGACTTTTAAAAGTCTCATCTCCGTGGCGAGTTCTGGTCCAGAAAGAGACGGGAAAACGCAGCAGAACCAAATTGCTCCGGTTTCTTCTCCGCTTTGGTGTAGCAGTCTGAGAAGGGGTTGTGTGTGTGTGTGTCCACCTCTCTGCAGATCTGCTGCTTTTGTGAACGTGTGCTTTGGGGCGCGCGCACGGCACCCCACTTCATCCGGACGTGCGCGTTCACGTTGTTCAACAACAAATAGTCTTTAGCTATAAACATGAGATGGGCTTCACTTCAGCAACTATAATAGGAAAAACAAAACCAGACTACAATTTCTGACCATGTTTGTGTGAATTTGTTAAAAACTAGAGGATAAACATCAGTCCATTGTGTTTAAACAAGAATCATATCTTTATTTTCCTTTCTAATTTGTTTTGTGATCATCCTTTGCGTTTTTATTTTACTTTGTCTAGGCCATTGTTTTGTGGTCATATTTGCCTCCTGCAGAGTTGTTTTTCTTCTATTGGCTGATATTTTTTATATTTACCCATTTTTCTAACTGTAAATTCTCTTTCTTTTCAGATTTTGTGGGACTAAATGTTGTTACTTCACTGACAGTATATGTCTTCATGCTTCTTAAATGTTTTCATTGTTTTCAGTTCAACAAAAAACTTTCAGTGTATTTTTATTGGCCTCTTTTATGTATTTTGCTTTGCAGCCTTCAGATAGTTTTCTTGCAGGGTAGCTCAGTTCATCTTCCTATTAACTCTGTTCACTTTCTTCACCCCCTCTGACAAAGAGCTCCCTTGCAGCATGATGCTGCCTTGATCACGTTTAGCCTCAGGAATGGATGGTTTGTTCAGTGAGATGTGCGTTAAGCAAGTGTAAGTCTTTATGCAAAAGACCTGGTTGAGCTGTCACATAAACAAGCAATAAAATACACCAACATCTGTGGCTCTAATGTTATGAAATGTGAACATCTCAAGAGGTATGAATACATTTGCAAGGCACAATGTCTGACAGCTAGTGATCTTGTTGTCTCTGTGATGATTGATGCTATTCACTTGAGGTCATGCTATATGTGGAGATTTTTTTGTGCCACTTTTCAATATTTATTGTTTTAGGCTACATGAATGTTAGATATTTTACGTTATTTACATTTAGTTTATATGATAGTTTAGATTTTGTCTTTAATTCTGTCTGAATTCTAATTTAACTAATAACCCATATATGCTGTCAAAATGCTAAAAGTCATAAAACCCGCAGATCTGTTTGAGCAGAAAAGACTCAGGTGTTTGAAACCTATTGAGGCGGCGCCCCCTAGTGGCCCACAAACTTTTAAGCCAGGGGTGTTTCGGGCAGCTGTTAGTTGTCTCCAACAGCAGATGTCAAACATAAACTTACAGCAGACTAAAGATGTAAACACGTGTCTTTTAGGCGCTCGTCTGTAGGCTGTTACTTAAGATGAAATAAATCAGACCATGAAGCTGCGGAATATTTTTAAGATTATTTCATTCGATTAGGCTATTACACAATTTTTTCCTTATTATTTTTTTAAATCTTTTTTATTATTATTATTTCCATTTTGAGCTTTTTTATAAAATAGGCTACTTATCTAATTTACGTCGATTCTTTTTGTTCTAAACCAAAATGGCCTCTGCTTCCTTTTTTTTTTTTTTTTTTTGGTAGGATTTTTATTTATTTATTTTTTCAGTATAATTTCATGTCGCAACTCCAGCTGCTCTAGCGCCCCGCTGCTCTCGGTGGGGATGTTGGCTCCACAGAAGTCCCGCCTGTATTTCCCTCTGGAGGAGTCTCAGCCTGCGCTCCCGACTGGGGATTGGAGCGGCCACTTGTCAGTAAGCCAGCTTCGCGCCGTGCATGTGTGCGTGTGTGGAGGGAAACCGAGCCAGACAGTGACGGTCGGATCGCTCACTCATCAGCTGTCTGTCAGGCCAGCACGCCACAAAGAGCAGCTTGACACCCGGCCGGTATGGAGGGAGAGATGCAGCCCGCGGATGAAGGGCCCTGCGCCCCGAAGATGTGCCGACAGCTGCGGGGTCCGTACAGCACCCTGAAGCCCTTCCAGAGCAAGCGCTCCGCGGGGAAGTCGCGCTTTGACCGGTCCGCTGCTTTGGAGCCGCCTGTGTTTGGCGACGGGCATCCCTTCACTTTCCATCCCGAGCAGCCTCATCCTTTCCAGCAGCAGCAGCAGCAGCATCAGCAGCGCCTGCAGCACCTCCACCAAAGCAGCGTCGCTATCAGCAGCAGCCAGCAGCATCACCCGCTGCCTCAGCAGCAGCACCACCGTCTCCCATGTGAGGCCAGGCCCAGCAGCAGGGTCCCGACATCCACCTCAGCGGCCACGGCATCCCTCGGCTCCCAGCGGCGCTCCGGCAGCGGTTCGGAGCCCCGGTTCTCCCCGGACTGCACCTACGGAATCAGCACAGGTGGGTGTGAAACTTGTCCAGAGTGAGCTCAGTTAGTTCCGCTCCCTCTTATATAGTGTCTTTTATTTAAATAATTATACTCCACCAGTCTTCGTGTCTTCCTTAAACTAAATATTCTTATGGGAGCGTGAAATATTCCCTTTATATCAACCATATTCAAGTGTTTATGTCTTATGCTCTACCAAAAGGCATCTCCAGAAGGTGGCAAAATCGGCGGCCAGATGGTAGTAATTTTGGAGAGGCACATAAAAACCAGAAGCCAGTGGAGGGTTTTGTTATGATGATATGGCTTTCAGCCCAGGGCAATATGAAAGGGGGACACCATGAGGAAAACAAACATCTGACAGTTTTCCTGTTATTTTCTTATTGCTTATTTATGTCCATTTGATGGGAGTGAACTCCCATCAAATGGACATTTGGACTAAATGTTTTTAGCATTGTAATTTAGCATTGGACTAAATGTTTTTTTTTTATAAGAAACCAGGACTACATTTAAAGTTGAATAGTTGCTCTCTCAACAGAGGTTGGTTTAAACTACATTCTAGGCTTATAAATCTGAGTGTGAAAACAAGAAAGAGCCTTTTTAGTGTACTTTTAGATTCTGAACCACTTTGAAACACAGTTTGAATCGACTGATAGACTGCCATAGACTGAGTTATTTAGCAGTGTTTACATATGCTTTACAACTGATATTGTGTTTTTCAACACCATATGGGAAAAACATTGGATTCTCAGTTTTCTCCAAAATGTTATTTAAATATGTCCAATCAATTTCTCTTGATAGTTATGCATTTCAGTTAGCATTAAATGTATATATATTGAATTAGTTCTTAATGTTTCTATTAAGTAATCTAATAATAAGCTTTTTGGCAAAGTGGTCTTCATTAGTGAAGTGTGTTTGGATGTGTGAAAGAGCATCTCACACCAATCGAGAGCTGCGGCTGCCAGAAGCATGTTGTCATGTGGAAACCCAACATGTAGATCACACCAAAGAAAAACATTCCTTTCTTAAACAATCTCATGATCTTTTAGTTTCGGTATTGAAATACTTATAGAACCCATACTTGTTTTGTTTCTTTTCTTTTTCACCAACACATAAAATAGCCCTATAATTCTACAATTTTGTAACAATCCAAATTCATTCACCTAAACAGTAAAATCCTGGTACTTTTTTAAATCCAGGAGTATGGTGAAGTGACATAAATTCACAAAGTGGTTCTAATGAAGACATAAAATGAAGGTACATGAAACACATAGGTCAAATTTCTTTTCAATTATGTTTGATGTATGCAGCATTTATCTAGCAACAAAAGATAACATATTTACTTGATTATGCTATAAAATGGCATTGTATGGCTAGAAAGTAAATAATACCGTCCCTTTACGCACTTAACATGTCTTCAGACTCTGGGAGGATGATTATTAATATAACATTTGGATGCATGTTGTTCTCTGTTTGTAGGAGAACAAACAGAAAGACCCCAGGCTGGGATTTGAACCCAGGACCTGCTTGCGACAAGGCAACTAACTGCCCCACAGTGCAGCCTTGAGGGGTTGACTCACTGTGTATGTTTTGTACTTACTTCCTAGATGTACACTCCTAAACTGTAAGCAGAGTCAATAAGCTGAGAGAAAAAAAACAGCATCTCCTAATCCTCATATTTTCCATTTCTTCCTTTGTTCCTCCTGACAGCAGTGATTGATTTACTTGTGTAATGGGAGCAATCGTGATCGAATCTCCTCTTCATGTGCACAAAATTACACTCTTTGCATCTCTCCCCTTTTCTCTGTGCACCATTACGAGTCCTCGCCGTCATCCTGTTGAAACACATTGTTCCCTGCTCATTTTTTTTTTTTTTTGTTTCCCCCTCAGCTGCTGTTCATTAGCAGGCTGCATACAGGCAAGAAATGTGTTCCCCATGTGGAGGGCTGGTCCGTGGGACCCAACATTTAGATGAAAGCGATGAACCTTATCCTGGCAGTTTCAAAATTAAATATTAGACACAGCATCCTTTAATCAGATTTTAATCTGGTTATCTCTACAGGCAGCAGAGGCTCTTCGTGCTGTTGCATTTTTTTTTTTTTTTTGCAGCTTCACAGTCAAGTTTTCAGACATAAACGGCTGCATATTAAATCGTTTTATTGCAAATGTGTGATAGCATGTCGAAAGATCAGTTTAACCCGGTTCTGTTGTTTGCATATGTTTCGACAAGCACTTTTCATGCCAAATTGAATCTACACACACCATGCAGGATGCACACTCCTCAGGTGATAATGGTACATCAAAGTGGTTTTATCTGCACAAATGAGACATGTTATTGTCTTTCTCCTTCCTGAGAAACTGGGCGTCCCTTTTTCTGTGAAGTGCAGCAGCAGAGACCCTGGAACCTGCAATCAGTTCAACACACAATAACCCAAATTGCATGGAAAAGCCTTTCCCAAAGAGTTGTGATTAAAACAAATGGGCCTCATAAATTTGCTTCTGCCGACCGTGTTGTTTTTAATGAAATTTTATGAGGCTCTCAGCTCCCAGTGCCACAGACCGGGAGAGGAGGGGGAGGTGGGAGCAGGGGTGAGGGTGAATGATATCAGACACATCTCCACGGGTAAACAGAGACAGCACGCATATTAATAAATGCGACACATCTGCGCCAGGCTGATAGACACGTCTGAGCGAGTGGCACCGTCGCCGCAGCGGCCATCCAGTACTCATCGGATCTATTTGTGTGTTTTGTTTGCAGCTACAGTAGACTCATAATCATTACGTGGAGGTGTGTGGGATCGTTTCGCCGAGACGTGTCCAGACTACCGGGGGAAATATGCGCACTGAGGCCTGAATCTGGACTATAACTATGTGCTGATTGTCTTGGTCACAGCAGATACGGCGACCTCAGAGTTTATTGACATCTGAATAAATCACCATAATAAAGCTGACATTTCTATGAACAAAGCAGCTCTCACAAGGCTTTTTGTGGAGCACTTTAGCTCAAAACCAGAAGAGAAAGTAGGTAGCATCTTATTTAGTATGTGAGCAGGTTTTCTCTTTCTGTTGCCTTTATTTGAAGATCAAATAATTCCCAGCTTGAGTAATTATTAAGTTTTCAAATGAGTACTTGCAGCCTAAGAACATCAGCACAATGAATTGTAAGGAAAGAAAAATGCTTATAGTTCATCTAAATTTCTGCTCTGCAAAACAATTCACACTCAAGGTTATGTTATAGACTCAAACGTCAAATTACTTGATTGGAGTTTTATGTCATAAATCAATACAACATAGTGCATATAGTTAAAAGGAAGGGACATTTTACTCCGTTATTTGTGAGCCTTTGTACGTCAGAGTGGATGGGGGAAATCTCTGAACAGCAGTTTTCAGGCCTTGCTACTGATTCTCTTTCGGATTTAGAGCTGAACTTTGAGACATTCTGACAGCTGATTGTGCTTTGATCTGAAGTATGTATTTTGTTATTATAACATAATATAGTGTTATTATGCCTGTGGTTGCTGTTTTGTGGGAAGGCAAACCTCTACCACAGTTTGAAGCTGGTTTTTCAGCTTTCGAAATGACTTCTGTCAGGACCAGCCTCTATTCAGCTCTATTCATCTTACCATAAACTCTGTTGACCTTCCCTTTCCCTGCTAAAGAAAATCATTCCCTCAGCATTATACCACCATCATTATATTTTACTGTGGATGTTGTGCTTAGGACTGATGCGCAGTCTTTTCCTCCACACATAGTGATTTAAACATAGCCAGAAATTTAGATTTTATTTTCTTTTTTATGTTAACAGAGCACTCATTTTCCAAACTGTGAACTGAACTCCTAATGGCTTCTTCTCTTTCTGTTCTTTTCTAAGGCCAGATTTGTTGAGCTCAAAACTAATTATAGTTCTATCCAGATTCTCCCACCTGAGTTGTGGAACACTGCAGCTCCTCCAAAGGCCTTTTGGCCTAAGATTTCTAATCCTAATAGAAAGAGTACATACAATACTCTTTCTATTTTAAAATAACAGATTAAAAAATGTAGTGTGACACGTCCAAAGCCTGGACTGCTGTTATCTAACTCTCCTTTAAGCGTCTGCATAACTTTATTTTTTACGGCTCTGCTGTGTTCTAACTCAATTATTGACCTGCAAAGCCAGTTGTACCGAAAATGTTGAACTCCATCCAGAAGTCACATGTTTTGCACCTGTAGAGATTAAATTTATAATTTGATCCTTCAGATACGCAGATAAGAACTGACCAAAAAAACAAACACCAGTTCTTCTCTGACTTCCCGTCCTCCTCCTGTGCCACAGAGAACCGTCTCATCCTAGATGCCTTCGCCCAGCAATGCAGCCGAGTCCTCAACCTTCTCAACAATGGCCGTCTCCTGGAGCCTCTGTCTTCCTCCCTCAGCTCTAACATCAAGCTGGAAGACGGGCGAGGGGACACTCAGGGTCTCCACTGCTCCTCTCAGGGGAAGCTGAAACCCCCAGAGAGCTCCTCCACCACCGACCCCGAGGACGAGGCCCAGCAAAGCCATTCCAACCAGCACCAAACCTCTGCAGTCCTCCGCATCTTCACGGACTCCCTGCAGAGCTACCTGCTCTCTGGGCCTCAGCAGCACCTGGCTGCAGGTCTCGAAGGGGAGCAGTGTGCTCCCGCCGAGCGCAGTTCAGACGTGGGGGGATGGGGGTCCCCGGCTCCGTCAGAGTCGTACGGACACCCGTCGTCCACGCTGCCAGAGGAGGAAGAGGAGGAGGAGAGCTGCTGCCCCCGCTGCCTGGAGCTGGAGCAGGAGGTGCTGTGTCTGCAGCAGGAGAACGAGGAGCTGCGTAACAAACTGGAGAACATTCCAGGTGCAGTAATCCAAGACCACAACCTCAGTCTGTTGTTAAATCCTGTTTTTCCCATTTCTTTCACTGTTTGTTTGCGTTTTGCTTGCTCTCGTTTGCTTTTGCTTTCTTTGTAACATTTTGGATTAATTTGGAGAAAGGTTCACAGAGCAGTTTTTTTATTTTTGGATTTTAAATGACAAAAGAGAGCAGGAAATAGCACAATCGTTGAAATTCTGTCTTGATCAGGCAAAGTTGGAAATTTCTTTGAACAGAAAATGTAAGACTAATAATGGATGAGATACTGATTTTGTTAAGAGTATGGTTAGAGCAAGAATTAAACATTATTTCCAAATGAATGAGCTGGATGTTTTTCAGAATATCTGGTATCATAGGTATTCTATTTGCTTTTAATCATTTAGAATTTTATAAATAAGTTGGAGCTGATTGTGTCTATGGATCATTAATGAGAATCTTTTACTTTTCTTCTTTCTATCTGTCCGTTTATGCATTTTCATTAAAGACAAAGCATGAAAATAAAACTTGGTTTGAAATATTCAATTAAATATTAGAGAGCTGTAAGCTCTCACATTTAAAGCAATAGTAAGTAGAAGTATGTTCAAGTATGAATGACCTTTGTGGGACCAGATTGGGCCTGAGGGTCCAGGCAGACGGTCACATTTATATGTTAGCGGTGAAGAAAAACAACAAGCTTCTAAAGTAACCATAATTGAAAATTACATTTGGAGTGAAACAGTATTACATGTGCTACAATTTCCATTGATATCAAAGTCACTACCCATTCTTCTAGTAAACCTTTGGAAAAGTCACATGTGAATCGGATTATAGATCTTGATACAGAATTGAACTTTACACGACGGGCAGAAATGTCATCATAAAGTTAATTTCATTGAGTAATTCAATTTAAAAAGAGAAGTGTCTTATGAATTCATTGCAGGCAGAAGGATATAATTTGATTCTGATAATGTGCGTCTAATGAAATTCCCCCAAATATTTCTAAGACAGATATGTTCTGTGATGTCCATGTTATGATTCTGCAAATGAGTTTCTGTTACTTGAAAGAAATGTGTTTTTAGATAATAAATTAAAATTCACCTCCGCAAACAGAAATTGTAGCAACAAGCAAAATGTTTACATATTCTCACATAAAATATATTTTTGCTAAATTGCTTTAAATAATAATATGTTGCAATTGTGAGTAAGTTAAGAATAAAATAAAGATGTTAAACGCTCTTTCCCCGATTTAGAAGAGAGGTAAAGACAGTAATCTAAGGATATGGTTATAGGTTTACAAAATCAGTTCTTTTTGCTTCAGGGTTTTTTTCTACTACCGTTCACTTTAACATAGTTCACTTTTTCCCCGCAGTTCCCTGCCAAAATACTCTGGACTACTTCAAGGCTGTTCTTGAATTTCACAACCAGCTGGCCCAGCAAATGCCAGAGGAGCAGCTCACCGAGGTGAGAGACAGGCTTGTGTTTTGCTTTATAGAGGATTATCAACGTGATAAAGAGAAAAATATGACGTCATATCCTTCTTCAAGCAGTGTGACAATATGGAATTAAAAGATGTATCTCTGCAGGAGGAAGAACAAACCGTCTTTGAGGTTTGTCGTTTAATCATTGGACCATGCATACAAATGTTTTTTCTTTGTTTCACCCAGACTCCTAAGTTTAGCTCCTCTTCCCTACAGGGGAGTAAACAGCTGCTGGAGAACTACCCGCTCTTCATCACCAACAAGCAGTGGGACGAAGCCGTCAACTCCTCCAAGAAAGATGGCCGACGGCTCCTGCGATACCTGATCCGCTACGTCTTCACCACGGATGAGCTCAAGTTCTCCTGCGGTTTGGGTAAGAGGAAGCGCTCGGTGCACTCAGGAGACCCGGGCCTGGAGAGACGCCCACTCAACCCGGTCAAAGTCAGCTGCCTCAGAGGTGCGTCGCCTCGGGCTCCTCTGATTTAGGAAACTATACACTCACCATCATATTTAAAGAACTGAAGTGTGACAACTTTGTTGTGATTTTAAGACTGTTAATCCAACAGGTTTATCTGCTTTTACACCAATGTTTCATTCAATGGTTCACCATTAAGCTTTAAGAGACTACTTTTATGTTAAGGACTAATATGTCAGAGTTTTCAAACTTTTACTTGCCAGTGATTATAGTGATCTTGATTTCTTATAAATATACCATCTTTGAAATAAGAGTAAGAATCTTGCAGTAAATATTTGTAAATACTTTGGTGTCTTTTATGCATGACTTGAAGATAAAATAAGCAATCCACACTCTCTGCACCTGATTATTGTGCTCCCAGCTGCAGAGACAACAAGAAATTGTGCATTAGGCAGTTTGTTTTCGGGACACGTATACGTTCTCAAATGAAAGATGTATAAAAAAGCTTCAGAATCTACCCAACAACGCCTAAGAGCAATTGTTTTAATTCAACATTATTGCCAACATATTTAAAAACACTTTTTAATTGTGGCATTTCCTTTTTAAAAGTATTTCTTGTCAGTTGAGAGTATTTAATGCTTTTCACATCATTTAAATCCTTTTTTGTAAATTACAACAAATGACAGTAATTTTAGGATTACACAGTACCATGGTAATATAATCTTTTATGATTATTAAACTGTGGTACTTCTCAGATTTCTTTTTAACATCAAGCTTTCAGAGTGAGACATAAAAATGCCAAGCAATCAGAAGTTGAAAAACAAAAACTTAGTCAAACTACTATATATTTTTGTAACTCAACTACAATAAAACAAACATTTTTACGTTGGACTTTTGTGTTTTTGGTCATTTTGTTCTTATCTTCCTCCACCAGATATGAATTTTAGCCATCTCACTTTCAAATCCTGACTCAAATATTAACTGTGCTTTGATTTTCCAGTAAAGAGAATAACTTTGATTTACCTTTCAGAGTTTATCCGGATGCACTGTGCCTCAAACCCAGACTGGTGGATGCCCTCAGAGGAGCAGATCAACAAAGTATTCAGCGACGCTGTTGGCCACGCCCGCCAGGGCCGGGCGGTGGGGACGTTCCTGGGGAGCAGCGGCAGCAGCACCAGCAGCCTCTACATGGACGGCTTCGACGGACATCTGTCGCAGGATGAGCTGTTTCTGAAAGGCTGCCAGAACGGCCAGTCGGACTGAAGCTATACAAAAAGTGATGAACCTTAATATGTAGCTGTACAACAACATATCCAGAAACACCAACCTTTATCTAAAAACATTCCAGAGAAAGCGTGTTATACAGAATACAATTCCAGCCCTTGCTTTAAATAATTTTATAACCTTTTTGGTTGTTTTATACTTGCATTTTTTGAGTCAAAATTTGACTTTTGCTAGTTTTCAATTTTAAAAGAATTTGAGTCTTCCTTTTTGCTACTTTAAATATAACTTGAGTTTATTTCACTGTCAGTGAGTTATGTTTTGGGCTAAGTTAGTTTCAGAGAATATTTTGTGTTAAATTTATAGCATAGTTGTGTTAGAATTTCCCTATATCTACACAAGCTGCACCTTCATAATATTCAAAGCTAAAAGTAGCATTTAATCTGTTTGCATCTGTATGTAGTGAAAGCACCTTTACCTGAAATTTTTAACAGGAGTGCCTCTGACATCGAAACATTCGCTTGTTCGCTCTGCTGCGCGTTGACTTTGATTCAATCTTCATTTAATTTAAACAAAAATATGTGGGTCAACACTAGACATTAGTTCCAAGTCACAACCAAACTTTAAAGTTACCTTGTTATATTTTGGAGGTAGTTACATGTAGTTGAATCTACGTATTTATTTTTTTAAAAGCCTCCAGTCCCTTCTGCAGCACACCACACACAAAACATGATGCTGCAGCCACCACCGTACTTTATAGTTGGGATCCTTATTCACAATTTTGCAAGCAAATGTTTTTTTGCAAATGTTTTTCCATGATCGCTTTGGCAAAAAAAAAAAAAATTGACTTTTGGCAGTTTTAAAGGAGATTTTCTTTTAATTCATTGGAGTGCTTCTAAGTTACACAGTAAGTGCTAGGTATAAAACACAATAAATTCAAGATTACTAAAAACATTTAAATTTAAAGCAACTAAACAAAAATTTCATTCTTGAAATTTGTTTTTAGAAAACACTGCAATTAAGACAAGCATAAATTTCGAAGTCACTTTGAAAAGAAATAGTTACATTAAATATCAGTCTTTTTTGGGGGAGGGTGTTCAATTGTTTTGGACTTCAGGGCAACCTTACAGCACAACTTTAACCAAAGTTTTCTGTGTCTTTAACCCGTTTACAGTCCAGTAATTAGTCCTGCTGAATTGAAATAAGACTGTAGTTTGCATTTTTGTCTGAATTTGCAACAATACCGCTACTTTTTGCTCAAACACTGTTGCCTACCAGGTTTGAATAATTCTCTTTTTACACACTTCCTCTTTTTGTTGTTAGTTTCATTTTTATTATGCTATTTTTGTCAAAGGTTGATCAAAGCAGTTTTCAGAAGATATGCACAGCATGTCATGAATAGATCACACTGTCACAATAATTGTATTAAAATTCGTAGAAAATACACTATTTTGCCAAATTTGTTGGATCACCCATGGAAGTGATTAAATCCAGGTGCTCCAATTTCTTCCATATTTACAGGTGCATAAAATTTAGAACATAGGGCTGCAGACTTCTTCCTCTCTTTTAATATGCCTTCTCGTCCAACATTAGTATCTGACCTTACAAATCCACTATTGGAAGAATAGGAAACAAAAATGCACATAAACACACTTCTTAGCCTGGTGGGAGGTTTTACCAGAAGATTTCTACCTGTCATACCTGCAATGGAAGAGCCAACATCCTACTAAATACTATTTATTAAGTCAGACAAATGAAACCTTAATGCTTATTGTAATTTAACCAACTTAATATGGCAGCAGTTAGGAGCAAATCACAGGCAACAGTAAAGATCTTTAGTTTAAGGCAGTTGCCACTTTATGAAGCTTAAATGAGTAAGAAGGCATCCACATAGTACAATGTTAAAGCTTTGTGTCATCATGTGATGTGTGTTGTTCCCTGACAACGACTGAAAGTGTCAACCTCCTCTGAGAGAAAACGTGAAGCACTTGTTTATTTCTAAAGCTGTTATTTGCACTTTTTATGGTCTCACTTGGGACAAACAGATGTAAAGAGCTAAATACTCACCTCAAAAAAGACTTCATACTGAACAACTTTCTTTGCGTTATTATGTAACACTGTTTTCTTCATCTGAATGTAGCTGATCGTGAGGCCAAGTCACCCATAAAACGTGCTGTGTAAATTGTGTAAAATAAAGTATGGTTATTGTTAACGTTTTTTTTTTCTTTCAGAAAATACATTGTCTCCCTCTTTAAAAAGCCAAGTAGATAAGTGCCAGAGAAACCTTAAAACTGTTGGATTGTGCTGTTGTGTTGCTGTTCTGAATGTGTGCATTTGTTCCCATGTACTTCTTTACTCAAAGTGGCTGTAATCAACACTGTGAAACATTCAATTTTTACAAATATTCAGTAAAAGTTGTTTTTTCTTTTTTTTTATTTCCAATGAATAAACTAAAAGATACAGTTGAAAAGTGCTCGCTGCTCAAAATGTCTTTATAAATGGATCATTAATCGTAACCTTGAACTGTCACTTTTTCTCATCACATTTCACTGATATTTGATGCACAGTATCATTGACCAAGATATTTTTTTAAAGGGTGAGAATGTCAGTGATGAGTTTTAGTTGAATATTTTTTCATAGTTGTACAGTGGAGAAATGTTGCTGCTTTATTTTATTCATAACTCAGTCAAAACTCCTAAATAATTTGTAGAAATTCCCCTGAAAGAGTCCATGTCAGTGTTAGAGTCAAGATGAGATTACAGCTCCTCCATCTGGAGATTTTCAGGAGGTGATTGTGAAGTTTTTTCAGTCCGATCTGCAAAACTCCACACGGTGGCTCTGCAGTTTCAGGAAAGATGTAACTTTCTAGTAAACATATAGTCATGAAGGCGTCTGTGCAGATGATTATCGGAATGATTGCTCTCTTCACAACAAACTCGTGAAAAGTCTGCAGCGTCTTGCTCCAAACAGTGAGTTGTCCTTTAAGAGTAAAATTTGCTGTGTCTTTTACATGGTTTCACTGTACAGTGCAGCTCAGTCTGTTGTCCAGGTGAACACGGTGATATTTATGCTCCTGCATAAATGCAGTTAGCTATGAACTCCAAAAGGCTGAATGCTGAAAATAAATCAGAGCTTTCCTCAAAATAGTCTTACTCTAAGCGTGTGCATTTCCCACTAATAGCTTTGCTTGTTGTTCAGGTATTTATTTTATTTGCTTTTCAAAACCATGAAACTTTTGAGAGACATTTTTGCATCCATTCATTGCCGATGTAACCAATTTACCTCACAGTGATGTTATTGAAGCTTTATGAAACATATAAAGAGGGAAATATGACAGGGATTTGAACCAACGACCTTCTTGCTGCAAGACAATAATGACATTTAATCATAAACATTGCTGTCATGTTCTTGGTAAGATTTTGTGCAAAAACACAAAATCTTTCCAGATATTGTAGGTTGAGTTTCTAGAACTGACGTCTTACTTGAAACAAGACAAAACTAACTTACAAGATGATGTCCTTCAGCAAGATATACAAGATTGTTTTAAGTTGCTGAAAAAGTATTTGTTCAATTGGCAGCTTATGACAATATTAAGGAATTATATACTTGAAACAAGCTCAAATGTCTTGCTGAACATTTACTTACAGCCAGTCTTGTCTTTTTTTGAAGTATTCTAACATATTTATACCGGAAAACCAACAATACTTTGCAAGAAATGAATTGAACAGTTATTAATTTGAATATTGCACTTATTGCCTATCCAAACTCCACGCAGACAGGCTGCTTTCTTTGAACCTTCACGCAGCTTTTCTGTGTCTCTCTGGATCAGACGCAGCTTTGGGTGTTTCTCTTTAATTCTGCGGCATCTCTCTCCTCTCTATGCGGGCCTGCTGTGGTGGAGGAGGGCGGGCCGTGGACACACAATGAGCGGATTCCGGACCGTCAACTCGTTGATGATGCGACATGAACGGGACCAGATGATTTCTGCTCCACTAAACGTGATTTGCATTGACTTGAGTTCAAGCAGCAAGAAGCGGCTGAAACTGAAGACTGAAAACTGAGGCTCGTCGGAATTTTGGGTGATTTCCCCCCCCCAACCCCCTGCAGCGGTATTATTTTTGCGCAGCACTAATAAAAAAAGAGGGGGGTATGACCTCTCGATCAGCTGATCAGACACATCAGTGAGTGAAACTGCGTGTGTGGAGTGAAGGGGGGATCAGCGGTACAAGATGATGTCCTTGATAGATCTGGACGATGATCAGCGGTGGGTTCCGACTCATGTTAATGTCACCGTGCTCCGCGCCAGGGGGCTGCGAACCAAGGGCAAGCACGGCAGCCGCTACCTCTACACCATCATCCAGGTGGGGAAGGAGAAGTACACCACCGGGCTGGTGGAGAAGGCGGAGGTGCCCGTGTGGAACGAGGAGTGCTGCTTCGAGCTGCTGCCCGGGATCCTGGAGGAGGGCGGCCGCAGCGCGTTCCCCCCGGGCAGCGGAGACCTGGTCCTCACCGTCATGCACCGGGTCCTCATCGGGCTGGACGTGTTTCTGGGTCAGACTATCATCCCCCTGGATAAGATATTCCAGGACGGAATGTGTCCCAGAGATGAGTAAGTTCACATTTTCGTTTACTATCCTCCCACTTTTAGTTTTTTTTTAATTATTATTGTCGAGGAAGACTCTGGTATTTTTAGTTTGTGGTGATCAGTCATGTGCATCAGCTGAGCTGACCGATTGTCCTCAATGAGTTAGTTTAAGAAGGAACCAGAACTGTTCTGCAGAGAGGTCAGGGATGCAAGCTGCAGAAGCAACATCCTCAGAAAGACCTGACCTATGGACTGATGTAGCAGAGGTTCCCATAATGCACCGCAAGTAAACAAGATGAGTTGCACTTTTCACTGTTGCACAAGTCTTCATCGTGACCATGAAGGAATTGTACAAGATTTCCCTACAATCTTTCAGAGAAAACATGTCTGACAACAGCAGCCATTGTGTCTGTAATTTTCTATTAATAGCCATCACATAAAATGTTAATCATTATGCATGTGGCTGCTGAGATTTAAACACATCTAACTTTCTTATGATGTTGTTATATAACTAGGCCAAGGCTGTGACAGAAAAATACAGTTAGTTGTTGGGGATAGATTTTAAAAGCTGATAATGTGAGAATCAAATGGCTTTAGAGAACATATTGCATTAAATGGCCTTCAAGCCCTGTGATTGAACTGAGCCTCTGCTGAAGATTAGGACATAAAAACTAATATTTCCTGCAAATGAACGAGTTTACAGTCTTAATAAAAGGTGAGCCTCAAGGCTTTGCAGCCTCCATCATGTTTTCTTATTGTCCTTCCATGTTCAACTTTGATTCCACCACCTACATATTTTACTCTGGTGATGGTTTGATCTCTCATGACCTGAACACTGCCTTGCCGATTAAACAGTTTAACACTTTGTGTTAGACTGCTAATGTAACTTTATTTAAAAAAATACCTTTCCTGCTTCACTCATCCATTGAAACTATAATTGTGAGGTGTATAACTAACATTTATACTGTCAACGGTTCCTGGCTGTTTTAGTTTAGGCCGACAGTCATGTATTGATATGTTTACAACTGTGCCAAAAATATTTCTGTTTATGTAGAAAGGATTAAACAGTGCTTTGTGAAATGTCAAAGAGTGTGATATTGTTCATAAACTAACCCTTCTACATACTCCATAACAGCTGTTTTTCTTGGTCTTTTAATAAACTAGTTCTGGTTACATTGGATTTTATTAAAGGGTATCAAGGTAAAGGGGTATGAAAACAAACATGTGGCTCAATTTTCTATTTTTCTTTTAAAAAAGAAAAAAAATATTGACAATGCTTTTCTTCCTCTTTGAATCTATTTATTACCTATAAAAACACAGAATGAAAAAAATAAAAGTATTTCTGGAAAATTGATGACGAACACTACCCAACTGACAGGTTGTATAAGAGCTTGTGGATACGGTCAGTTTCTTTTTATTGGAGTTCTGCTTTAGATTACTTACTGGCTGTCAAGTCTTGGAAAGATTCAACATCGTTTTTTTATAATGGTTTTTGCAGAGTGTTAAATGTGCCTGACTCTCTAGTTCAATCAAAACACCATTAGTGGTCATTTTCCCTCCAAACTCATGTCTTCACTCGTTACCTTTTTGGCTCACAAGTCAAGAGGTACAGTTAGGCAGAAGTAAGAATCCACTTTTCTGGGTCAAGAAACCTTTTTTCCTATCATGCAGGTCTTCTGTGATGTCTTCATCGTTTACATTCAATGAAGAAAAGTAAAGTGTCATTTTCAGGTAGCATGAAAATGATCACTTTCAATGGAATGTCAGTATAAATAATATCAATTTTTGATTGTCATCAGTCTAAATGATTAACTGTGAATGAATGACCCGTGTTTAATACAACAACAGGTGACGTAACTGGCCTTTCTGTTATTTGAAACACTGCAATAGAGTGAAACAGAAACATCTGGCTTTAATTGAGGATCCTGCTCCCTCTATGCTCACTGAATTCCTGCTGTTCGTTCTGGCTATGTAGCATTTTCTGGGGTCCGCTCAGTGGACCTGAGAGGGAGGAACAGAGCGTGGACTGAATTCATTGGTTGACCCAGTTTATCTGTTAATGCTTTTTTTCAGCTGACCTTTTTTGTGCACTTTGAAGAATATGAGTTTCCATTTGTAGCTGTGAGGCCTTCAAATAATTTTGCCAAATGTAGAACTAAAACAGACACCGCTGACCTTTAACTAAAAGTTTCTCTTTTACTCAGAGACCTAACTATAATTTTTATTGTATAAGTTCTTATTTAAGCTCTCAAAGGGCAGCATTATGTAAAGTCTACTTTCTTGAGCTTTATATTATAATTTTATTCCCTCATCAAAAACATACCTGGAGTATTGTTTTTTATCTTACATCTTTGAGGAATTACCGAGAGTCATTTAGGGGTGTCTAAAAGCTTGCTCATACAAAACCTATTTACCCAAAGCTCCTCCTCGGAGCTGCAGACTCAAGTTGAGCTCCCACCCCACTGAGCAACCATAACCTCACGCATTCCCCACAAAACTCCTCAGACTAGTAGCTGCAGCAGTTAGAAAACTGCTGCAGCTGTGATAATTGTGGAGCATTGTTATGACCTGCTGAAGGTGGAGGGTTGGAAAGAGTAGAAGCCTTTTAAAGAGACAGAGGTCAATTTAAAAGTGGTCAAATTACAAAGTCTCACTTCTTTTAAGTTGTTAGTGATATGTTCAGCTGTTTTATGACAACTTAAGGTAACATAGTTACTTGATTGTGCTGTGAAATGATGCTATATGCTTGGAAAATACAGAATAATACCCCTTTAAAACAAAGATGCATTGGACATTATCTTTTTTTTTCTGTAGATGGTTCAAGCTGAACTCCAAGGCAGGTAGAAAAGAA